GACAAATTCAAATATCTATCTTATATATATATATATATATATGAAAGATATAAAATTTTACTTCTTAGTTTATTGTTTTTAATAGTAAACAAGGATTATTATTACATACGTTTTTCTAAAACAAACTTTTTTGTCGCGGTCTAGACAATTAAGACTATATACTCTGTATGCGTTTTATAATAATTATTTAAATTAAGTAAAGAGATATTTACACATGAAAAATATAAAATTTTGTTTCTTAATTTCTTGTTTTAAAAAGTCAACATCAGTTATTATTATATACAAAATTTTAAATATATTATACTTTTTTAGTCTAGACAACTAAAACTCTTTACTTAATAGACGTTTCATAACAATTTACGAAACAAGCATATTGTTTTAAATTTCTAAGATATATTAAAAAGAATTATCTCATACTTATTTTAATTTTCTAATTTGTCTTTGATAATTAGATACTGCATATGCTTTTGATATTTGTTTTTTTTAATTACTTATTATTATTATTATTATGAGATGTGTTGTATTATTATTTAATTAAAACTATAAAATGAAATATTTATATGTAAAAGATATAAAAATATTTTTTCGTAATTTCTTGTTTTTAAAAGTGGGATCTCTTAATGTTATCACATTAATTTTTGGGTCTAGACAACAACTGAGCCTTTATAATCAATTTTTACAATGTTATTTAAAATTATGTAAATAAATATTTATACATGATTTTTTGAACATATCCTATCGTTTTTCAATATAGACAACTAAGATTCTTTAATTAGCTAGTGAGCGTTTTTTGTTGTTGTAAAGATTGGAAAGATTACAAAGATGGTTGCAATAAAGATTGAACATAAGTCATCATGCTTTTAACTATCCTAACCCCTCCTCACCCAACTACTAGGCTAACCCTAATTAGTGAGCGTTTCAAAACAATTTACAAAACAAACATATTTTTTTAAAATTTATAAGATTTACAATTTTCATGCATATCTTACATAAATTTGATTTTCTAGTTTGTCTTTAATAACTTAATGACATACATCTTTGATCTTTTTGTGTGTTTAATTATTGTTATTTTTTTAGATATGTTTATTATCATTGAAAACTATAAAATAAAACATTTATGTGAAAGATATAAGAAATTTTCTTCTTAATTTCTTGTTTTTTAAAATATGAACTCCAACCGTCATCACATGAATTTATATATATATATATATAT